GTTGTGTTGCTGTGTAGAGCCGAGCATACGGCAACTTTGGATTCCATAGACCAGCGCACAATTCATTACGCATTCGACATCAAGACTAGCTTATTATTGTAATAATGATCAGTTGCGGGGGGGAAAAAGACTGACGCGTATGCGACGTTCAACGCCCGGACCGCTAGTCCCTCCCCGACACGCACACACAGCCACACATGTGCAGGCCGCCCATCCAACCCCGACGAACGCTAACGAGCCATCTTTAATTGCTTCTGATGGCCTCTTGACAAAGAAACATTTATTAGAAGCGCTTGAACTTTTCAGGCAGGCCTCAAATTCATCATAAGATAAAAACTCGGCTCCTGCACAAGACATTTTGCCCGAAGTGATCCCGGTCTCTACCTAGCCTGAGGCGAGTCACGAGTGAGGCAGGACAGGAAGCCGGAGTCACGAGTCACAGGAAGTCAGAAGTCGGAAGTGATGTCATGCTGGACAAGAATCAGAGTCCGAATAACTTTTTTTCATATTCGAACTCGAGTCCGAATAGTGACTTCGTATAAAGATAGTGTGTGGGTATCCCAGGAAGTGATGACATCACAATACTATAAATTAGCAGCCAACCGGGGAGATGCGTCGTTCTACGTTTAGTCGCATGTAATCAAACCTAAATTATTGTAAAAGATCAAATTATGGTCAAATTTTGTCTGCGGGCAGTGAGAGAGGGAGGAGGGAAGAAACAGATAGAAAAAGAAAAGGAGTAGCGAGTAGGGGTGGGCGTTAGTCGATATTAGCCAATCACAAGTAGGCCTACTGGTATCAACTAAGAAATTTTTTATCGATCGATACCCAGTACTGGTTAAAAAGGAAATCATTTGAAACTAGGGACACAACACTATATATTAAAATGCACTATTATATTACTGAATTATTCTGACTTCTGAACGAGGAATGACAAGAGGCCTCTATAGTATAAACGGCTTCAACTGTGCGAGTGTACAGCTGCTATAGTACATGTATAAGAGTAGACAAAAAGTATTTTTATCCATCCCATGTTATCCCAGTTACTGTTTGTTTAACTCTTTAACCATGCAATTTAAAATCACGTTTCCGCGTAATTCTCTCATGTTTGTGGAAATGCGACCTGACATATGAGCAATTGCCAAAACGTGAGACTGTGTTGAGACTCAGTGGTGCAAAAAAAATTTTCTTACCAATTTGACTCTCTTTTCTGTCAGTCACAGATTGACATTTAGTGCTCATATTCCTAGAGTATCAGAGCAAGGAGATGGAGGGTTTTGGAGATATGGGTCTATTGGTTTGGCAACTATTTCTTGTATGTAACAGTGATGACAAAAACAGATAAGCAGCAAGGCAAATTATGGACTTTAAATTCCATTTGTTTAATAAACAAAGACTTTGTACACCATGAACTCCATTCATAATGGTAATTGAATGACAAGCTTTGTAACAATGATGCAGTGCACAGAACATGTCATCATTGTTATGTACAAGAAAGGATACACATTGGACATTATCATTGACAACACATCACAATAGTGAATAGTGAAAGGCTGTACAAATACAGTTATCAAAGCCTCAGTACCAGAAAAACACATGTGTAAAACAATTTTTAAAGTAATATGAGGCAACAGCACAAAATCAATGGAGCTGACTTGTACATAACAGTGATGACAAACATGACTTGTACATAACAATGATGACACAATGTACAGGAAAAGACGAAGTCATGTCTCCAGGGAGAAATGCTCACTTTAAGAATTTTTTTAAAAGCCAAGAGAGGTTTCTTTTGCTTTGAAACAGATATCAGGTCATATCAAAGACAGTGGACGATCACAATTATGTTGCTAATTATGACAAACAGTACTTGTACATAACAGTGATGACAAAACATACTGGGAAAAGGTAAAAATCATGCCTACAGAGAACAAATTTGCACGAAGAGATACACAGATCAATAAATGCGTATTTTGCTTCTAAATGAATCTTGCATGTATGAAATATATGCATGTTGAAAACTACTTATTGATATTAGCAATGATGACAAATATTACTTGTACATAACAACAATGATGACACAATGTATTGGAAAAAGGCATATATCATACCAACAAAGAACAAATGTGTATTTTTGAGTTAGACAGATAAACAAGGACATGTTTGTTTATTTGTTTGAGTAAAGAGAGCACACATGATTTAAAAAATGTTTGCTCTTAGGACAATATAATTTCTCGTACGTCAGTCAGTCTTGTACGGCTGCATGACGACACCCCAAACGTCATCACTAGGCACAAAAGCTAAATCTATAACCACAGAAATGATCCATCTCTCGAAGTCTGTTCACACATCACACTCTTGTTCCAGGAATCCAGTGTAAACACCGCAATTTGACTAAAATATTCAACAGAGTAGCCTAAAAACATGCCAAACAATCCAGTACGTCACATTAAACGCAAGATTCTTGTGCGTCACCGGACGCTGAAGGCAATGACTACTTTCGTTTTTCTATTTCTCCCGTTGCTTTCGTTTTTCCGGGGAAGTCACTCAAGAAAACAATTATATCCGGGCACTTTTGAAGACCCGTTCAAAACAAAAGTGGGCGAAATTCGGACTTTCGGCACGTCGCAAGTTGACGACAATCACGGCGAATATTAAACAGCCGACCGAAATCATAGATCTGGGAACCCAATGTTCCTTTCGCGCATCACGGCTTTTGAAGTATTGAATAAACGATGAAAAGCAAAAAGATTTAACCAGCTACGGTGATTCTACTGAAAAATAATGGTGTTTTCTGAAACACCTAGTCCGTGACGACACGACTGATGCACAAGTGATCCGAATTGTTCGTTTATTTGCAAACAAATAAACCGATTTATTGAGCAAGTTAACCTTTCTCGATGTCAAATAGCATATGATCAAAGCACACATTTAAAAAAAACAACCCAAAAATACTAAATTTTGGACATTCTTGGAAGTTTGCACTGGTGTGCTCAAAATGACACTCCAGGAATCACTAAAAAAATGAACATTTTTGGCACAAAATTTACAAACTCAAGATTGTAAAGCTGACATGGGGTCTGAAACTGCTAATGCAGGTTCTACGTCCTATGTTTGACATGTGTATAAGTTTTGGAGGAATAAATACTAATACATCACATTTTATGCACACTAATGTGAGATGTGTGTGTTTTTCCCCACGTTTTGGCAAAAGGCGTTATATTGCATTTTTAAAACCGCTTGTTTCATGTCAAACTGATCAATAAAGCATTACCCAGACGTAGAATACATTTATCTTTGACTTCCAGGTCAAACTAAAGGCCTTTTAGCTCGTCCTTTTTTTTATATTTGGCGCGTACTATAATACAATAATAACTTTGCATCGGTCGGTGATACCGTCCAGACATTGTTACGGACCTCGACTACCGGACGCTGCCACCGTCCAGACATGGTTAAAGAGTTACAGTTTCGAAAAATAGTAGAGAATCTTTGGTCTTCCTTTGTTTTTCTGGAAAAAAATCTCAGTATCTTAACCGAATGTCTAGACTTTGGAGAGATCCGAAAGAAATATGATAAATCTCCAAACAATACACACCCGAGGAGACTATCCTGAAGCCTCCATTTTCACTGCGGAGGCCACTGCCATTGACATGGCACTGGACTCTGTAGAAAATTCTCCTAACAAATCTTTCCTTATCCTTTCTGACTCTCTGTCTTGCATCACCTCACTCACAAACTACACACTCTTACATCCAAAAATAGTTAGGCTACAACAGAAAATTCATACACTATCCGAAACAGGAAAAAACATCATGTTCGCATGGAATACCCAGCCATGTGGGCATCCGAGGAAACGAGCAGGTAGACGACCTGGCAAAGAAAGCTTCATTCCTTCTTTTGGGATCAACGACAAACACTCTCCCACAGACTGACTTTAGAAATAAAGTAAAAAAGTACACCTCCAGTCTGTGGGAGAGCCACTGGGAAAAGCAGAAAAATGATAAACTATATGAAATAAAACCCAAACTAGAACAGCGAAATCCTTCGGACCTCTCCAGAAGAGACGAAGTCATTTTTACTCGATTGCGCATCGGATACACGGCCCTGACCCACAAATACCTCTTACAGAGAGATAAGAAGCCGTTCTGTGTCGGATGCGACACAGATTTTACCATTAGACACATCTTACTTAACCGAATGTCTAGACTTTGGAGAGATCCGAAGGAAATACTATAAATGCAAGAAATTGCAAGACATTTTTTCCGTCATTGTTCCCAGCAGAATTTTGAATTTTATAAAGGCCATTGGCCTTTATGGCGAGTTGTAGAGTGAATTTGATACTATTTAAAATTTTTATGTTAACTAGAAAAAATATTTCAGATCGAAAAATATATATATGTCTACACTGATTTTTAACATTTTAAAGGCTAAAAGCTAACCAACCGTGCAGTAAAACTTTTGTGAAAGTATACAACTTGTGTTTCACGCGCTCATATGACCTTAGCAGTTGCGAGCGCCGTAAAACCCCATACTACTACTACTACTCTTTAGTCTTAGTCACGTTCAACGAGAGGTTGGATCCGACGAGAACAATAAGCTGGTTCCGGCATCCTCGTTAAATGCGACACCCACTGTAGATTTTTTGGGGACAGGTAATAGATACATGTATAGTGTATCCAACAGACATATACGCTTACAAGACGCTTTGCAAGATGCTTTTATTTTTTTGTTCAAATTACTATTTTCCCCTCTATTATCTTTAAGCTCACATACAGGCCAAGGCAAACACACTTCAACAAATCATGACAAATGCTTTCCCTTTTCTCTTTTCCAATGCACCTATAGATCAAAATTTCTATGCAATCTTCATGGCTGGCAGCTTTTGGAAACTTTAAAAAAAAACAATTTATGTTATGACAATTCCTCTGCAAGCCTATAAGATTTGTACAATTCAATGCATCAGAATTGTTTGTATTCAGTTATATTTTCTCTTTTGATTTCAGCAAAAGCTAACAACTGTCTGATGAAAGGTATAAAAGAAGTGCAAAAAGGTTTGCGTAAAGGAGAGAAAGGGTAAGTGAGAGTGTTATGATTAAATTTAATCTTTAAAGGGGGGGGGGCTACACCTGAAGGCTATCTCTCTTATTACCAGACCAAATTTTACCAAATTTCACATAAAAAGCATAGTAAGGAGTCTTAAAGTCCACAATCAAATTTGAGAAAAAAGTTTCACTTCCATGGATACAATTTTTGGGTTCTTATATTATGCGATGAAATAATTGTAGGAGAACTCCCAAAAACTATTTTTTCTCAAACCGGGCATGTTTATCATCACCATTTCCCCATAAAGTCAATATTTTCTTTTTCTTTATCGGACGTTTTCTCAAAACACAACTTTTCTCTTAACTTTTTCATCTAATCTTCATTAAATTTTCACAAAATGAAGAGAGGATGCAATACTAAAAAAAAATTCTGTTGAATGTTTGATAATGTGGAATAGATATTTGCTGGTTGTGTCTGGAGTATGGATTTTCACGGATTTTTGCACACTTGAATGCTACCTCAGGAAAAAATTCATTAAAAATTTTCGTATTCGTTTAGGAAAAAAAATACAACCGAAAAATTTTTAGACTTAATGTTTGTTAACATGCATGCATGCAAAAAAAAATCAATTTCCATGAGCAATAAGTGCGATATTCATTATGTAAGACATATCAACAAAATCTAATATGGCCGCCGCATCCATGGAAACGAAACTTTTTTCTCAAATTTGATTGCAGATTTTAGGACTCCTTACTATGCTTGTTATACGTGTGAAATTTGGTAATATTTGGTCTAGTAATAAGCAAGATAGCTTTCATGTGTAGCTTCCCCCCCCCCCCCCCCCCCCCCCCCCCCTTAGTATAGTCCAGTAGCCATACTGTTACACTATATCATGTCATCACTGCCGCAATCAATCCACTTAGTTTCAAATATGCACTTCATATTCGTATGTCATGACAAAGTCACTGACTGTAGTAAAAGAGCAGAGTAAAACAAATAATAAAGAGGGGAGACAATTGATGAGGCGGGCATCAAAAGCAACCATCAATCTTAATGATGCAGTCAAGTAATCGATAATGTTCTGTTCGTGACCATATTACCCTTGGCAGCTCTGAAGTTCATGAGCTGGAGTCTGGCATGAGTAATGGCAAGCAGTTACCATAGCTTTTACTTGTGATTATGTAGGAACCAGTTGAATCTGCCATGTCCATTTGAAATAATCGAAATTGTTCTAAGACAGTCTCCTATTGTCAATGAGTAAGGTGTTCTTTATACACTGTGCCGTTATTATGGGTTTTTTTAAATGTTCAAGGGGGGGAATGAGAAGTGACTGTACAGGCAACTTGTCTGTCGGAGTGAGAGCAGGTTCAACTGTATTTTGTTGTTGATTTGTTTCATCACAGTATTTTCTCACACTTTTATTTCAGAATTGTGGTTTTGGCTGGTGATGTGAGCCCAATGGATATAATTTCTCATATTCCTCTTGTGTGTGAAGAGTCTGACATCCCGTATTGCTTCACACCATCAAAAAGGGTATGTATTTTTAAGAAAAGGTAGTACTGCTCAATCCCCTGACAATTTACAATACATTTCAATTTATCAGTTGAACAATGGAGGAAGATAAAAGGGTGAATTGGAAGGCTGCTTCACCTCAACATATGTCTCGCACATTGCGTTGCCCCCTAGTTATGATCTGTCATTTGTCTTGAAATTTTATTGAGTACAGTCAAACTTGTCCATAACAGTCTTTCAAGATCACAGAAAAGTGTCGGAGCAGAGTCCGAGTTATGGTCACTTACAATGTTTAGCATATGAAAATGAATTCTCACATGATACATAACCACCAACAACACATAGGCTAAAGCAAAACATTCTCTTCCAAGTTTCCTAATATTTTTTGTTTAATGCTGTCTTTCTATTTCGTTTCCACCAAAATTATCTATCATAAGAGCTATTTCATAAAGGAATGCTGCCGACAGATTGAAACACCCCCTGTAGAATAGTCATTCACAAAACACGAGAGAAATCAAGCAAATCAACAAGCAAAAAAACCCTGACTCAGGCAGTTGATGGCCACTGTAAGACAGACATCGCACTGCCTGTCATGTGATTGCTTGACATTTGCCGAAGACAGCGGCAGTGTTTTATTACTGGCTGTCACATAAAGTGTGGACAGTGGTAGTGTGCTCAATTCATTGAACACTCGGACATAGTGGGTTTATGCGCTGCACTAAGTATCGTCTCCTTTTGTTTAGTAGGTAGTGCCTAGCCTGGCCATAAGCCCAGCTGCTTCTTTTCATTGATTGGATATACCAACTTGGTCTGAGGGCAGGTTTGCAGAAAACTTTAGTTGGAAGTGACACCACTGTGAGCAGATTCTGAGGCCATCAAATTGACTGACCGAACGCACTGGGCAGGGACTGCTATGGGCTGGTTAGAAATATTGGAAAAACACAAAAAAAGTGTTGTGGAACAGTGGCCATTTGTACAGGTGACGGCTAAAGCCGGTTCTACTGTTATTTGTATGTAACTTTAAATGTCACTGACCGTTAAAAGGGAATGTGAGTGCAGCATGGCCTGTATTAATACTCTATCAGGAGTCAGCAGAGTGTGTTAAACTCCAGTGGTGTTCCCCACACCCTGGCATGGAGCATAGGCTGACAGGTGGCCACTTTGATTCTGCCACAGGCCTGTGATAATTATTATGAGCTGTGGTAGTCTTTTACTGCTGTGCCAACCTCCTTTGAAGGTAGTCTACAAAATGCTCATTTGGGTAGAGGTCCTAACTAAGAACGACCATGATTTTTTTAAATGTTGGCAACAGTTGTCTTGTTGTAGAGTGAGGTTACCAAAGTTGTGAAGGTGTGCAATAACATTACACAGTTTTGCAGTTTTTGACTTGGCCTCATCCGAAGCCATTGTTTCAATAAAAATTTACATGCAAAGTGACTATTCTGACTGGAGTCCGATTAGACAAAAATTATATTCAGTTTCAGACTCTGAATTGAGTCCAGCATGACGTCTGTTCCGACTTCCAACCCTTGTTCCTAAATTTTTCCAGCATTTACTAATTTTTTAACGATTATAATGATAACAATCGAGACGTGAGCTTTAATATCCAGTTACCATTGTATAAACTGGCCCTCTCTGCATCATTAGCCATTAGCATGATAAGTTGACCTTGCCAGGGGCAAAGTTAATTATGTCAATCAATGAGATTGCGCATAGCGATCTCTCACTCTCAGCTTGCTGGGGGGAAGAGGCCACAGCTGTCGATTTTGTGCTGTGTGATTTTTTTAAAAGTTAATTACAGAAAAACTATAACACAACAAAATGAAATTAAACTTGTGGAAAGACAAATGGTGGTGGAAGTAATGATGATGCTGTAGGCTTGTGGTGGAGGAAAGACCCCGAGTTGTCGGTTATCGTGTACTTAGACTTAGACACTGACACTGCCATTGGGCAATGAGAGTGCAGACTTTTGACACAATTACAGTCCTAGTAGGTAATTCTAGTTCTAATTCTGGTTTTACGTAAAATCCCCCGAGGACAGTTATATTATGTAACCTCCTTATACTCGCGTAACTCACTTAGAAGCCGAGTCTGAATAAATAAAACATTTTTTTTTTACCCAAGTCCGAATAGATGATACCTATATATATATAGAGCTGGCCAAAAATTTAAGCAGGTCCTGTTTGACGTATCTTGATGCAAAGCCACAATTTGTGTTGACAAGGCAGTTGTTATCTTTGCATTGGTTTCACACTCATGTGTCTTGGCTGTAACTTATGCTGAACTGACTTTCAGCGGAAAGGAGGATATAATATTCTTGGCTGCTTTCCAGACTCGTTCAAGTTCTATTTGGCCCTATCCAGTGGCTGCTTCTTGGATTATATGCTGTTAGATGAAATTCAGTCACTTTGCTGGATCTGTCAGAAGATACACTGTTACAGTCACAGCTGGTGCTGTGATTTTTGGCTGGAGATTGATGCCCCTTAACTTCTGACTTCATTTCTGGCTTTCTGTTTCAGTTGCTACCCTGAATGCTTTCTGCGTGTTTTCAGTAGATTGGTCAGTTTAAGTAAGGATGCTGTGAATAAACGTAATTTTCCTTTTCTCTCTTTATTTTGTGTTGTGGGGTTTGATAATTTGTTCCCACTATGAACAGTTATCATTTGACCACCTCCCTTGGGCTTATTGGTCCTAAACGTCCTCAAGACTTTGTAAATCTCATTCATTGGATATCATATTGTTCGTTTACATGAGCTGAAGGAATGAACAATGGCTTCTGCAAATATGCTTATTGAGTAAACATAGATTGAAGATCTTCTTTACCCCTTCAATGCTGCAGGTAAATAGACCCCTGTGCCTGGGGAAATCTCCTGAGCCTGGTAAATAGACCCCTGTGCCTGGGGAAATCTCCTGAGCCTGGTAAATAGACCCCTGTGCCTGGGGAAATCTCCTGAGCCTGGTAAATAGACGTCTGTGCCTGGGGAAATCTGAGCCTGGTAAATAGATCCCTGTGCCTGGGGAAATCTCCTGAGCCAAGGAGGCTCAGGGGAGACCCCACTCTACCTCCCATAATTGTTATATTTATGAATATTTTCTCATGAATTTCTGCATGTACATTCTACTTTGGACGATGTTTCTATTAATATAATTTTAGGGGGATTTCATTGAAAGATAGATGGAGAAAAGTTGATTAGTAACATGATGCCAAAAACACCACCACCAAACAACGTAAAACAACACACATTCGAGTAATGATAAACTGAGATTTTAAAAAAGGGGAATACGTGTTGTGTGAGAGTCCTCACGTAAAGAGGAAGTGACAAGATGCTTTTCCTACCTTATACAACGCTCGCACAATCTATACATACATGTAAGCCCATCTGTGTTTACTGCCAATATATCATTTTTGTACGGTAAATGTGTTAGATCTAGATGTAAATCTAATCGTCTCTTTCACATATGGGGGGGTAAACATAAAGGGAAGGTACTTCAATAGTAATTACAAGATTTTAGCAGTAACTTCCCTTATAATGTGTATCAAGATAATCTGTCACTGTCCCGTAAATTCTACCGGCCATATGCACAGCGCTACCCGGTTTGGGCTCAGTAGCGAAGAGGTCAGCACGGTTGTACAGAGATTTTCTTTGTTTTTCACAGAGCAGTTTTATTTTAACATTTTTGCCAGAAGTTTGCCATTACTTACACTTACATGTCAGTTTATGTTACTATTCACATGTGATTTTTATGTATGTGTTTGATAATTCGGCACATTATTCCATCTTTGCAGGAGCTTGGAGAAGCATATGGTTCAAAAAGACAGGCATGCATGGTGCTCATCAAAGAGCATGAGGACTTCAAGGATGAGTTTGTGGAATGTAAAACAAAGATTGGAGAGCTTCCACTTCCATATTGATTTTTATATTTTTATTTTCAAGGAAAGGGGACTGTTCGAAAGTTTTTAAAAAATCATAAACTAAAAAGCCAGATGATCTTGTTGGAACGTAATTTTAATGCTAGAGTTTTGGTATGAATGAAGTGCCTGAGAGAGTGGGTTGTCTATTTTGAGAAAGACAGTGGACCATGATTGATTTGTAATGCCTACTGATTTCCATGTTTATTTCTGAGCCATATTCCTTTTTTGTTTTGAATTATTTGTCCTAGATCAAGTGTAATAAGTTTAAAAGCACTGAATTCTAGAGGTTGATTTTGAATAGGACATTCTAGAGGTTGATTTTGAATAGGACATTCTTTGTAAACTGGTGTGAGGCTTTAGTTGTGCTCAGTTTTGCTCAATCGAGGTACTGATCTAATCACATGATCTGCTGTTGGCAGTTGCCATGTTCTTACCTGTGATTTGAGTGGTCAGTCACAGGATTGATAGAGAACTAAGTGATTTTTGCTTTGTCGTGTTATTTAGCTGTGGGGGGTTCTGTGTAAATGTAGCTTGTTTCTTTCAATTATCTCCATTAATATTGGATCTGTGGCTGTTTTGACCACAGGATTTCACAAAGTTGTTGTAGCTTGTTCACTTTCCTCTGTCCGCGTGAAAAAAATTTCGATCTCATTTATTAATTTACCTAGAGCAGTAGAGCAATGCCCACAAAACTTTGCATCGCATGTCTGCAGGTCAGCGACCAAACAAAATATTTTAACAAATAATCTTGATCTAATAATAACAAAGAATTCTCCTTGGACCCAATATTAACCCTTTAGTTGCCAGGGGTATGCATTCCTACTGTCGGTGCTGATTTTCAGCTGAGCTCATCACCCAGGACAGCAGCCTAATGTCTCGGTGCTAATGGATGCGCGGTCTAGATCTAGCTTTCTCGTGACATTATATTTCAGGCGGCGGGTCTTCGATTGTTTCACTTATCTCACTTTTCTTATTCCTTATTTCCTGCCATCTTACTCCTACTTTCGAATAACCTGCAAATCTTAGGCAAAAATATTATTTGCCTTTTTAAAGTTATTTCAATATTTATGTTTTACAAGAGCACGCAGCCGCCCTCAAGCTTAAATCTGATTTTTTTCTATCACTTTCAAGCCTAGCAGTAAAAAAATAATACTAGCAAATTTGATACCAATATGCGCCTTCTATTCCCGAATACGGATCTGCGCAGCGCTTGTGGCTGAAAACTCAGTACTGAAGAATTAGAGCCAGGTTATTAGCGTGCCGTACGTGTAATGTAATATAGGCAACTAAGAGTGGCAAATTTTGCCAACTTCTGTGACGTACCCGGTACATGGCAAGGCGCAAAAAATTACGCATTTTCATGACGTACCAGAAACCAATGAAAGGGTTAAAAACCACTCTTTGGATGCGTCTTACAGTACAGTAACCTTGCCTACAAATTGCTCATTATTAGACAATGACACTCTGGTCCCATATTCCAGTGTAAGCTTGTAGATATTATCCCCCGGCTGTCTAGATATCGCCACGGGAGTCTCAATAATTACTCTCCCCGTCTCCTAAATCATGTTTTTAGGCGAACGTTAAAGTTTGGTGTTGAGAAAAATATGTCAACTTTTAAATGTTTTAGGTGTATGCTGTAAATCCCCTATTATTTTTTGTATCCGCTTTAGGCTTACATGAAATAAAACATGTCGGAACCTTAGTTTGCAGTGACCTTTATGAACGGGCTTTCCGCTTCTGTTGGTCATTCAACTTTGAGACTTTTATGCAAAGATCTGAGAAGATTAATAAACAGAGCGGTTTCATTTTATATTGCTTTTATCTCAGTCAGGTGAAAGTGGTCAATCCAGCAAGCCATTGCAACAAGATGTGTCAAATCTTGTGAGATACAGGACACACTTTTGTCAGCAGGCGTTCTTTCAGTTAATTTCTTGTGGATTTTTTTTTAATGGATGTCACATGCTTGCAATACGGTATCTTCAAGTACGATTGTTCTATCATAGTGTTTCACCATGTACCATAACAGTGGCAAAAATATGTTTGACCATTAAATAAAAAATATATGAACAATGCCCATTGTTTTCTTTTATCCTCTTCTGTGCCGATTTTTTAGAAAAGTTAAAGTTATTTCATTCTGATTGCATTTATTAAGCTACTTCTTTGTTGCATCTGTACGTGTATCAAAATCAGGACGAGCTCATCTATAATCAATGGTAATGTGTAAAGTAGAAACAAGTTTAAAGAAGATCCCATAGTTGTACAGTGGAGTCCACTTATAACGAGTCCTGAAATAACGAGAAGTCTGGTATATAAACACTATTCTAAAACCTGGGTGGGGGGCCTTCTTTATCTTTGTAACTAAAATACTGTTGTAGTGCAATTAGACAAACATGCGAGTCGGTTATAGCGGAATATTGCTCCTGCTGTTCACAACGCATATAGGCCAATTATACATATATGTAAAACCTCGCAAGTTGTGAAACTTGTAGGTGAACTAGCGAAATAAAGAATGGGAGAGCCCTTGTGTGTCAACAATGAAGGCCGGATTGAATGAGTGGAGAGGGTGTGGCATGCTCAAAGTAGCAGAACGCATCGCGTGATAGGCCAGCCTAGTCTAGATTATCTAGGCATACCATGCCTTTCTCTTCTCCGATGCGGGGACGGAGAGGTCACAGTGCTGGGATGGATGGAGCGAATGTGTGACGTGCGCGAGTGGATGGAACGCACCACAGGGCGTGGTGTGGTGGGGGACAACACAGCGGATGAGTTACCCGAGAGCTCTTTCTTTCTGATCGCCAATGCCGAGCTGTCAACATCGCAAGCGCTAGAGAAAGAAATCTGAATCGAAGTTTGATCAAGTATGACCTAGAGGTCATGTTGAAACAAAATCATCATCAGGGGAGATAACAAAAAGAAATAAAAACACCGAACTCGTAGATTAGGCCTACTTTATTATTTCCATTGAATTTATTAATTTATTACAGGATCCCTTATTACGAGAATCCTGGTATAATGCACTTTTCACACCGGTCCCCTCCCTCTCGTTATAACAGGATTCCACTGTATAATTTGAGCATGCAGTTTTTGCAACTTAAGAAAGTATTCAGTAGTGCTCTGGTGAAATGTGTAGCGACATGGTGGAATTGGCGCTCATCAATTTTTGGGCATGTGGTATTATCATCATAAAGCTTGTTCATTTGTCTTGCCTTTGCTGAAAAAATTACACACGTATCTTGAATAGGAGTCCAGATATTTGCAATTGAAGGAGATGGGGTTGCTTGGTTTCAGAAGTAAAATTAGCGAGAAAATGGTCAATAGTTTGGTGACTACCAAAGCTTGAGAGTCCTTGGAAAATGCAAATGTACATCTTTTGTGCCTTTTGTGAACATTTTTCAGTAAAATTCACACATGAATGTTTTTAAATGGACATTAAAGATGTTGAGTCGAAAAAGAAAATTAAAAAAAAATTGCCCAGCGTCCATAAAGATGTAGACTGTAGATTTCTTTGCTTTCATTATTTTGACAAGCCCCCGATTTCACCACTGCCTCGCAAATTTTTTTTTTAAGTGTTTTAAGACGCTAGCAACTACATACGGTTATATAAGCTCGCGGGACACATTAAACATTTTCAGACACACTCTCCTTCAAAAAAAGCTGCGGTCCACCGTGACCGCAACAAAACAAAGACAAAGGTCACCAACAATCAAAAAAAAATTTACCGAACCCGTGCTTTCAAAATAAATAAAAATGGCAGTTCTTCAGTGGAACATTCGCGGTTTGCGTGCAAACCAGGCAGAACTCTCATATCTTTTGACCTCACACACCCCAAATGTAATCTGTCTACAAGAAACTAAATTGCCAACACCCACATTCACATTTAAAAAACTATCAAACTTACAACCAAATATACACCGACAACCAAATCGCCTCTGGGGGCAACTCCATTTTAATAAATAACCAAACACTACACAGACAAATACAACTAAACACAACACTTCAGGACTTCAGGCAGTTGCGGTCAGGGTCACCCTACACCGTCCTATAACTATCTGTTCAATATACATCCCTCCAAATTATCCTCTATCTTTAAAAGAACTAATAAACCTCAGAGACCAGCTCCCACAACCCTTCATCATGTTGGGAGATTTTAATGCCCATAGCCCTCTTTGGGGAAATGAACCAACTGACACTAAAGGTAAAATCATAGAAGATTTCTTAACAAAAACCAATACTAGTATTTTTAATGACAATTCCCCAACATTTCAAAATTCAAATAACCTAAACTTTTCATCCATAGATTTAACCCTATGTGATCCAGAACTAATTCCAGACTTTCAGTGGTCGGTCCTGGACGACCCACACGGATCGGACCACTTCCCCATCAACCTAATTCCAGACGTTCCACACCGAACTCCTATCCCGGACCGTTTCAATCTTAAAAAAGCGGACTGGGATGGGTTTCACATGGAATGTCTGGAGAAACTCAATCCATCTAAAAAACAAACGCAAACTTTTGAACGATTTCATGAAACCCTTCTCGAAATAGTTCAAAAGCACATACCAAAATTATCCACCAAACCCCGGAAAAAAAATTGGTTCACTGAAGACTGCCAAAAAGCTATTGCAGCCAAAAAATCAGCTCTCAGGAAGTTCATCAACTCTAAAACAAACGAAGACCTCACTAATTTCAAAATTGCGTGAGCCCAAGCACACAGAATAATCAGAACGGCCAAAAAAACATCTTTTCGAAATTATGTCTCTAAATTAAACAACGACACACCAATGCACAAAGTCTGGAAGATGATAAAGAAATTAAAAGGTACAAAAAAAGACACAATCAAACACATCCTAAAACCAAATAACTCCTTCGTAGAGACCGAAAAAACAGTAGCTGACTGTATAGCATCAACTCTCTCCGGAAATTCCTCTACACACAATTACAACCCTGAATTTAAAAAAGTAAAAATGTCTTCTGAAAAGACAACTGACGATTTTACCTCTTCAAATGAAGAAAACTATAATTGCAGCTTTCTTTTAATGAATTAAAATGTAATATTGCAGAACTATCAAACACAGCTCCGGGCCCTGATCAAATACACAACGAAATCATCAAGACGTCTTCCAGACGAAACACTCCTATTATTACTCCTTGATATTTACAATGAACTCTGGCTTTCTCAACAATTTCCGAACGGTTGGCGTCTTGCCACTATTATACCAATCCCAAAACCAGGAAAAGATCACTCTAACCCATCAAACTACCGTCCCATAACCCTTACAAACTGTTTCTGCAAACTTATGGAAAAACTTATTAACAAACGTCTAATGTGGTTTCTCGAAACCTCCAACTCCTTATCCAATTTCCAATGCGGTTTTCGCAAAAATCGCTCTACTATTGACCATCTCGTCCTACTTGAAACTTTCATTCGGGAAGCTTCCATTCGTAAAGAGCTCCTTGTGGCTATTTTTTTCGACTTAGAAAAAGCCTTCGACACCACATGGAAACATGGTATTTTAAAAGACCTGCGTGACTTGGGCTTACGCGGAAATCTTCCCGAATTTATACGAAACTTTTTGAAAGATCGATCATTTCAAGTAAAAGTAGGTTCAACCCTATCAAATTTACACACCCAAGAAGAAGGCGTCCCCCAGGGAAGCATCTTATCGCCCATTTTTTTCTAAATCAAAAGCAATTCCATCACAAAAACCCTTCAAAACAATATTGACTGCTTACTTTACGTTGACGACTTCCTGATCTGCTATAAATCCAAATCCAAAATGGATCACATTGAACGTCAGCTTCAGCTTCAACTCCATATACTGGAAACTTGGGCAAACGGCACGTGTTCAAATTTTCCACAATAAAAACAAACTTGGTACATTTTTGTCTGTCGCTCAAGTGTGTGCGACAACCAGATTTGTATTTGTTTGGAGAGAAAATTCCTGTTAAAAAACAAGCTTGTTTCCTGGGCATAATCTTCGACAATAAACTTTCTTTCCTACCACACTTGAAAGACCTAAAGACGAGGTGTCAGAGTTCTCTCAACGCCTTGAAAGTATTATCCAATCCTAAATGGAGAGGAGATACTGAAATATTTCTTCAACTTTACCATTCCCTTGTCCGTTCCAGGCTGGACTATGCCAGTCCTGTTTACGGATCAGCCAGAAAGTCTTACCTTAAAATTTTAGACCCTGTTCAGAACCAAGGCCTTCGCCTTGCGCTAGGCGCTTTCCGTACTTCACCTGTAGAAAGTTTACAGGCAGAAGCGCATGAACCATCTTTAGAACTTAGAAGGAAAAAACTCTCTTACTTTGCAGTACGCTTTGAAACTTAGCTCAGTACCCCAAAACCCAGCCCACAAATGTGTCTTTGGCCTTCCCGAAGATCTAAAAACTCTATCCTCCTTAGGAAATAAAGTAAGCCCTTTCGGAATAAGAATCCAGAACGATCTCAAAGACATTGATTTTTCTGAAGACATAATCGAGCCCTTTGCCATGTCCAGCATACCTCCATGGCATTTAACCAAACCAAACATAGTGATAGATACTAGTCTACAGACAAGACTACATACTTAAAGTCATACAAACAGCTAATAAATAGATACCCTGAAGCAGAGAAACTCTTTACAGACGGATCCAAAAATGACTCCTCAGTAGGAGCTGCTGCCCTTGCCTCGCCACACAGCTTAAGCTTAAGGAAACTCCACCCAGAAGCTTCAGTCTACACTGCTGAGGCTACAGCTCTTGAAATGGCCCTAAATATTATAGATCAATCAACCAAGTCTACTTTCCTAATCCTTTCAGACTCTCTCTCTTGTCTGAAATCTTTAGAGCGCTCTGACACCTCTGACAACAGAATTTTAAAACTTATACTTATATAATTAAATTGCATTTTCTACATCAGTCTGGAAAAACTATTACTATTACAATAGCTTGGCTTCCAAGCCTTGCAGGCCTTAATGGCAACGAAGCCGCAGACCAATTTGCCAAAGAATACTCTAAAACTACCTGAAACTGAAAGCAAAAATAGTAAAATCCCTTTCTCTGACATGAAACCGAAAGTAAAAGAACA